AGCAACAGTTGCTAGGCACGGGCTAGCCGCGCTGCCCCGGCTGTGGTCTGAGGGGGAACTTTGGTGCCATTTTTAAAGTAAATTCCTGACCCCGGAGGGGTGAAGGTTGTCCCGTCAGCGCCCGCGGAGCAGGGCACGGAGCTGCGGCTTCGGGGAGCTGCGCGCAGGTGCCTGGAGAAGAGAAGCGGTGCTGTGCCCCGTGCAGCCGAGGTGTCCTCGCTGCCGCCGTGGCATGAGAGCTGCTCCGGGCACTCGCACTCGAGGTGGTGTCCCTACACCGGGGTTCTTCACCTGGTGTGCAAAATGCCAGTCAATACACTGAGTCCAGATACTTGCCTTTAATTCAGTTCTGCAGAATCGAGTGCCGGGCATTCAACACCAGACAGCACATCTATAGTACTGAGTGTTCAACATTTATAACCATAAGTCATAGCTGATTGCTAAAACGCAGTTTCCGTATCAACCTACATTATACATATGCATCTAAGATTGTGCAAGCTTAATGTTTTATGCATTTTAGGAGGGGTTTTGATTAGCATGCTCATAATTCTCAACGGGGTGTGATTTTTAGTACTATCATTACCTGATGTTAGTTGAGGATGCATTCTTATCTAAGCGTTATTCCAAATTCCTGCAACATATCTAAGTCAGTAACCATAAGACTGCAAAACAAATTTACAGCTGCCTTGGGGCTTTCCATGCTGTTCTTCAAGCTTAGGTACTTTTTGTTTTCAACACAGACTTGCATGATTGCTCACTTTGTAACTTTTAACCCTATTCTTTTGACATCAGAGAGAACTCGCTATTCCTAACATTTATGGAAATATTGAAATGGGAGAAAATGTTGCAGTTTTGTGATGAGTGCTTCTCTTGCTTCTTACTCCTAATTATTTCCTGTCTGTCTCTCCGTGCGTGTTGTTTCTTTTCCTGTACTGAAACTGTAAATTCTTGGTGCAGAATCCTATCTTTATGCAATACCTAATTATGATCAGTTATTATTTCAGTGATACTGTATTGTAACCATTTTTGTGCAACTACAAATTAATATGTGCAATTATGCTAGACATTAGAACACAGTTATTTTAATTTGGTTTATATTCATACATAGTTGTTATCCCATACTAGCTAACTGCCCTTATCGTGCTTGTTAAAAATAACTGATCACTTTAAGCACTATATAGCATGGGGGGGAAAAAGAAGAATTTCTGCTCCATAGAGCTTGGAATCAAAATAGAAAAAGATGCAGATAGGCAGATCAAAGGTATAGGGAGACAGGAAGTGTCGATTTGAACACCTCACTTCATCAGTTACAGACTTACTGGAAAAGATTCAGATTAGTACAGTAATATAATCCGTGACCCAGAAAATGCAGTTAGTGAGGAAAAACAAACAATTGGATTTATTTTGGCTACAGAGAAGGCAAAGGTTATCATTCCATTAAATACACTGAGCTGGTTAACATCTTCCCTCTGAAAAAAGTAGAGGGTCCTGCACCATCTTCTCTTTCATCCACAACACACTTGCTTAAGACAGGTAATGCTCTATTGTGTTTAAAGAAGAATAGAGAATGTGGTAGGCAAAAATTGGTAATTTTTCTTCAAGCAGTCTTTCTGACTTGTTCTGCCTTGCAGAAGCAGCAGAGTTGTACATATTCTTTTTCCAAAGCGTATCTCGTATATAACTGTACTTCTGTCAGTCAGCCTCTGTGAAGAACAGTTTGTGGGATCAGGTCTTCAAGTTTGAAACTTTTCTTTTCTTGGCAATAGGTCTGCTTGCAAAACAGAGTAGTACTTTGGAGCATGGGCAGGGTTATTCCTTAAATTAGCATTGCTTCAAAATATAACTAAGTGCCTACAGAATCACTACATTTTTTCCTTTTAATATTTAGTTATGGGTGATGAGTCAGTACCATTTTTGCTGGACCAAGGAACCACTAAAACATATCAAATACCTATTGGTCATCTGGACTACAAATTCATTGAAAAATGCACAGATGTTAAACACCTGGAAAAGATTCTCAGGGTATTAAGGTAAACATTATATTTTCTTACCTTCATTACTGATTATATTCCTGTTCTGTAAAATTTGAAGTAACCCATATCAAGTAACCCATATCTAAATACTCTATTTGTCTTGAACTTCTTTGTGACTTTCTAATTAAAAAATTAAAATACAACGTTAAACTAATCATGTTAAAAGTGTCCAAATTATAACATTAGAAATCCAAGTCCTGTTTTAACCATCCAAAAGGTTTTGAGTAACTCAATGCCAGGTTTTTCTCAAATGCTGCTGCTGGATTTTCGTTCTGTCATAAAGCCATCTTGCCTGACTGTTTGTGGTAATTTCAGATGCTGTGCCTGTTTAACTTTTGCTGAAAATTACATGAGCATTTTTTTAAGAGCACTGTGATGATAAATTTTGAACTGTGTATGTGTGTGCATTGGAAAGTAGTTGAGGGTTAACTCATGGGAATTTTCTGATCAAAAATGTTATTCGGTGATAGTAGAATTCAGTTGAAACGGGAAGATAGTCCTCTGCAGTCACTGTGGTGACTGTGCAGAGACTGCACATGGAGAGAAATACGGAGGATGCAGTGCAGTTTAGTTCCTTTTTGTAACTTTTATATCATTGCATTTTAAAGGTCTGGTGAAGAGGGATGTTATCCTGAACTTACATTGTTTTGTGAAAAGCGTATTGAGCATTTAGATCCAAGGAGCAGAGCTCTGAGAAGAGAGAAGCCTGCAGCCACAGCTTCTGATTTCACAGCTGAAGAATGGGAAACAATTAATAGTGAACTGATGGTACAGTATAATGCTAATTTATAATGGTCAGTAATATAATCACTTTTATGTATCAATCCTCCTCTTCTTGTGCCTAAATAGAATGTAATTATTTGATTAAATGAGGAAAGAATCCAAGGATTATGTTGGGAGATTTTTTTATTATTTTCTTGAATTAATGTCACTGAATCTTTAATGCCCATTTTAACTCTACAGATTTTTTTTGTAGATTACTTTTTATTCAGAAAAGAACTATTGCCTTTGTCTTAATTGCTTTTTGCCGTTAAGAGTACTGCCTTGTAAGGATAGTTAAGGTCATTGTAGACTATGAAGTATATCTGCTCTACTGCTTTAAAATACAGCATCATTATTTATTTATTTTCAGAGCTGGGTGACAGAAATTAATGAAGATGATAAGAAACCACAGTTCCTGAGAAGAGACACACTGCATGAAAGACAAGATAACTTGCCTCCTATTCGTTGTTCCAGCAGCTGTCTTCCTGCTAATCAGGTATCTCCAGTTTTCTAATGTATGTTAATTATATGTCTTTCTAAAGTTGGGAAATCTTATATGTACAAACTTCTAGTCATTGAGCCTTTCTTACTAGATTTGTTAACCAGAAAATACAAAACTTTAAATTCCCTTGCAAGAGACCAATGCTTAAACAAAAGTGCTTCCTTAGTACTAGCCTGTGTCTTGTAATAATGCTTTAATTCTGATCAAGAATTCACTTCTGTAGCAAATCTCCTTAAACACCCTTTTATGTTCTTTGATTCGCATTTCAAAGTGGTGTTTAAGCATATCAACTAGGTTCCTTTTGAATGAAATTATGCCAAGTGATTTTCTCTGCTGCCCGTAGGCTTTTGTTCCATGAGACCAGACAGGAGCTAGTCCAAAATAAATACCCTGAAACACATACAGTGTGGATGTTGGACTCTCTGCCCTAACTGTTTCACTCCATAGCCACTTCTATATTGGGTTGCACTGGTGTATATGTAGCCTTTGATTCCGCCTATTTTATACCTTGAGCTGGTATTCCAGCTTTAGCCATAAAGCATACTTCTTAATTTAGTCATAAAGCGTACTTAACAAATCTTCAGAACTACGGAATAAACATTTACATTTTTTCCTAGGTATTCGTTTCCTCATGGTTTTTTTTTCCATTTATTTATCTGCCTGAAATTTGCTTTGTCTGTGACCAGCTTTTCTTACTAAGTGCTTTGCTATTGGAGGGATTGGCAGAAAAGTAGGTGTGGGATGGGATTTTCTTGAATTGTCAGATGTTATCATGGATGGCTATAGTCTGATTCCCACTATTTCTTTGGAATTCTGGGACACTGTTACAACAAATTCACTGAAGGATTTTTCTTTTTGGAAGTTTGGAAGCGACAAATGTTATGAAAGGATCCTTACAGGTCATATGACATTAATTGTTAATTTGATAAATTTCATTGGAATTAGTATGTGTTGTCAGAAACTACTTGTTGTTGTCAGCTGGTACTTAGACATCAGACCAAGACATTTGGCATAACTAGGCACTGTCCATTATGTGGTATACAAAGAGGCTGGGAATTCCAGTGCAATGCTTTATAAGTGGTTAGTATTGAGACAGGTGTGCTTTTGTGTTTGTTTTTTTTTCATTAATCTGTCCTCTTTCACATTTTGGAATGTATGTTCCCCTTTACTATCCTGTTTTGTTGAGATGAAGAGTGCAACTGTAGCTTTACTCTTGATTTATGTCCTGTAGAAGTGTTTCCTAGAACAGAAAATGGTAAATAAAATATCATGTGAACTCAGTGAATCCAGATTAGAATATAAGCATAAAATGGTGGAAAGTGACTTGAAATCTAGGATATACAGTTTTACTAAAGAGGATGTGTTCTCTGTTCAAAGACAAAATATTTATGCAGATTTTTTTCTCCTACTTTAAACCATGCAACAGTCTTTAGGTCAAGTTTTTTGTCACTTTTGATCTCCATACGAGGTTTAGGTGTTAGCATTATTACCCAGGAAACCTAGATATAGCTTTATGCCTTATCTCTGGTATATGATTACCATTCCTTTTGTCCAAGCAAATGGCCTCTGAAGTACCTGTAACCTGTCCTGGAAGAGAGAAAGGAGGCCTGAAACTGAGTTTTAGAATTCAATCTTTTTATGTAGCAGTGCAGTTATACCACTACTAGATCACTACTGAATAAAAAGAAGCTGTTTCTGAAGTATACGCTAAATTTATACCTGTAACATGAAATCTCAAAAAGATTTGATTAATATACTTAATCAGTTTCTATTGATTTTCTTTCTTGCTGATAAAGCTATGTGTAATCTTACAGTTTTTAAATATGCTTTGCTAATCAGTTAGAACTGTAATTATTTTTTACATTGGCATCACATAATTTTGTAATGTGGTATCAAGTACAAAGTTGGCATGGTAAGTTTCCTGTCTCTGCTAGGAAGAAATCCACAAACCTTCCATAATTTTATGTTGTTATTTGATTGGAGACTGTTCATCTGATCTGATGCATAAAAACTTCAGTATCTTCAATGAAACCAATTCTGGAAATCCCTGTTGACCCTAAAACAGTGGATCGCACCAATGAGTACAAGTCTGGTAAATGGAAGCATCTTGTTGTGTCTGTAACCAGATTTTCTTACTGATACTAAATGTAGGTACGGTTTCAAATAATTGCTAATAGCTTATAATTCTATATGATGTTTTCTTTTTATTAGTGTGAAGTCATGGGGAAGATTTTCCAAAAATTAATAAAAAAAAGAGTGAAATTTATGCAATATTTCCCTCTTTAACGCAATATGGAAGTTTCTGTCTTACACTCTTAATTTTCTTTCACACTGCTGAGGACTGTGAGGTTACATCTATACTGCAAAATAAAAGAAGACTGGAAAGACAGCTTGAGTTTTTCTGTTCTTAACTGTCCATGTTGCTTAATTATTATTTTTGCTGCCTCAGTTTTTCCAGGACAGAACTAAAGTATGGGTTTAAAGATAGTCACTTCCAAAAGACTGTATTGATGGGGTTTGAGTAGATAGGTTCCTTTGCCAAACACAGTTTCCTAATGCTATTCCAGAAAGATTTCTGTCCTCACGATACCTTTTCATGCTACGGTCCAGGGCATGCAACACACATTTCAAGTTTTATGTTATAAAAATCCCCTGTGATGATATCTATATAGCCTTTGTATTATTTTGGATACTCCGAACTAAAAGAGAATACTGGTTAGCTGACACAGATTAGTAATGTCTTAGGCCATCACACAGGGCCCAGAGGAGAACCAAGACCAAATTCTGTGTCACCTGAAGACAGTCCATGCTTTGATCTTTGGTCTAGAAATTGTTCACTGGACTTCAAACCCTGTAGCATCGATGCATTTTGAGTTCTGGTAAGAAAAATGACAAGGGCAGAGGTGTTTGGTTTTTTTAGTTCCACAGCATGCAAATGTACATTTTTCATCAAAGTGTCTTGGATGAGATGCTCTGGAATATTACTGATGGAGAAATTCCTGACTCTGCTGGACCTGCAACCTGGTTACAATGGTCCCAAGAATATGAGACCTAGAATTTTAAAAATTGTGCATTTTTGAGTCAACACTTCTGCTTTATTCCTTAAAAGGACATGCTGTAGTTCACTCCCTAAATTACAGTTGCATTACTGTAAACACCTTATGAGCTTTCTTGTGAGAGTTTCACTATTTTTGTGCTCATTTAAGTTAAAGACTTCTGATTTGGAGAAAAGATTTGATATTTATTAAATGAGTTTGTAATATACACCAGGATGCATACATAATGATAACTCATGTTTCAGGAAACCATATTTAGGAGTTATCGGCTCCAAACACGCACTGATCACTAAATGTATTTGTCATTTTGTCTAGCTTCTTGAAAGACTGGAACATTAATTCTGAAGTTATATACTATAAAAGTTTGTGTAACCTAACATTATAGAAGTCAGAAGTGTTTACAGGAAGGGTCACATTTGCATTATGTAAATTGAGGTGTTTACATCCAACTGCAGAAGTATTTCCTTGTTACAGTGTTAGTACTGGTAAAGCTAGTTTAAGAGGTTGCTGCCTGTTTCTTTGGTCCAGTTTATCACATGCTCAGTTGAACTGGTACAGATATTTAGGGATTGTACTGTAATCTCTATGAAATTGTTTGTTTGAACTCAGATAACTGTAAATCTGCAACTCTACAAACAATTACATTGGTCTATCGCAGTGAATGATGGATTGCAAAGTGAGAGGAGGGCTGAATAGCCAGGACAGAGTAGATGGGAATATTTTGAACTAGCTATTCCACTGTGAAATACCTGTCTGGAACCACACCTTGCTATTAAGTATTGTTGAAGGCAACAAGCAGGGAGGGACATACCAGAAATGTAGTCTCATGACAGAGGCAGAAGAGATGCCAAAGGTGCCAGCTATGGAAATAGGTTCCATTAGTGTAGGAGATGGGTTGTGATACAAGTCAGTCAAATTTGTTACTGTTGCAGGAAGGCCCTAAGGATAAATTTTAGGTAGGGCAAACTCAGTGATGGAGCTTGCCTAAAAGCTAGAATGACTGTAAATCATCTTGGGAATTAGCTTGAGTGGAGTGTGAAATAGTCAAAAGAAGTCTGGACACTATTGTAAAGTCAAACATTTGTAAGTTTGATGTGAGGGTTCCAAGGACTATGAGAAGCTGTGCGTTGCATTCTCTTGGGAATGGCAAGCCTAAAATGAGGTTATTGATTCAGTCTCAGTGTCAAACACCTCATCACAGGGCTGGGTTTTCACAAGGCTGAGTTCTCCCTGGCTGTGTTGAAAGGATAGTTTGGAAGATGGCAGCACAAGATACTAATTAGGAAGAACAGTCTCCTATCTGAAAGTTTTCTTCAGTGCCTCTGTGACATGTAACAGGGCAGTGGAGAGAAAGTGTGAGACTGAAGAGCTCCTCAGATTACAACAATATGTGAAATTCATGAAGATTTTCTTTAAAGCAGGATGAATTAAATTTTCAAGACTATGCTGAGATTAGTCATGAATAGTGTTAGTTACTAGGAGTATGTATTTCAGAAACAAACAAACAAAAAAAGGCTGTGAATTTCCACTTTAAAAAATTGTCTTACAGGCTGGCTGTTTCTCTTTCAGAACAAAAAATTACAAAACAAACAGAGAAACAAGAAAAACATACCACGGGATTACAGTGAATGGGACAAGTATGTTAAATCCTTTATATTTAAGTTTTTATTAAATCTTATTTATTTGTTTAATAATGGAACACACTGATGGTTTTTAAAAGTATTTTCCAGAAACATAGTATTAAGGTCAACATTTCAGGGAGTTATAACACTTTGGTGAAACTTGGGTTTTTCAGAATATACGTTCTGTTAAAATGCAAATGATGCATTTCAGTGGTAACAGCTGAGAGAAAGTTAGTCTGTGTTTTTGTACAAGCTGTGTGAAATACAGCAAGTCAACCGAAAATGTAAATAAAAAATGATTTTGTTTCAGATTTCATTTTTCCTTTCAACATCTAAGATATAAAATCTATGGAGGTACGTAAAAGCACGGAATTACAATTAGCTTAATTTATCAGTTTTTTGAAAGCACTTCTAGGGTTATTTAACATGGGCTTATAAATTTGATCTTCTGTGTATGTAATGCCACGATTCTAAATTAAAAACAGAACTGACGGATCCTTATTCCTGCACTGAGCCCCACTGACCTCAAAGAATGAACGTGAGGCAGATGCATCGGTTTGCTCAGATGCAATTCCACATAATCGGAGGTTTAGACAGTAACTATTTCTAGACTGGACAGAACCCTGATTCAAAGACATTCTCTGCATCATGCAATGGTGGCATATTACCCTCCCAAGTTATGTGACAGATTGATGCCCCCAAATTGTTGAACATGGAAGGGGAAATGCACATACTTCTCTGACTTGTTTGGTAGCAGCCTCTCTAGCTTCTGAAATCTGGAATATGATGCTGTAGAGTCTGAGTGAGGAGGCACAGGTTTCCAGTGCAGTAGATGGAGAGCTAAATCTAGAGACTGTGGGGTTTGGGTAATGAAGCTCTATCCCAAAACCCCTACCAAAACCCTGTCTGCATAAGATGCTGACAAACAGTCAGTTGGTTTACTGTTTGTTTTTACAAACAGTTGTGCGTATCAGTTATTTTCATGCATGTTTCAGAAACTGGGGCCTTCCTGCTCAAATGTGAACAAACAAAATAGGTTATCAAAATTATTCTTTCATCTCTCTTTCCACTATATCCTTTAAAGTAATCATTTTGGGGATTTTGTTTACAATTTTATGTATTCAATCTTTAAGTGCTTTAGCATGCTGATAATACTACAGTTTATGAATTTTCCCATATAAAGTATTTATTTTGGATTATATGACTACACTGAAACAGAAGTTGTTTGAAAGAAACTTTTCAGTTTTAAGCATATTGTGTTTTCAAAACATTTTGAAGATAATTTCAAAGCCTTCAAATAATTGTTTAGGCAATTTCTGCACAAAACATTTCACTTCATGTTTTAAAAATACTTCCTTTGAAATGTGGTTAATTTATAATAAAAAGGCAGAAGTAAGCTAGCAAAAGATCAGAATCAAAATGGAGAAAAATTAATCTGTCACCATTTAAGGCTGGACTGGCAATTAAGAACATAGTCTTACCTGAAAATGTTTTGAATTGGATAAATTTTCAAAATTGTCTATTTCATATAGAAATTATTCACATTGTCAAGATTATTGTGGAAAGCAAAGGCTATTTGTCATTAAGTCCTACACAGAAAAGCAGTCAGTGTAGTGTTTCTAGACAGTGTAGGAATTGGTTATTACTGTATTTGTTTTACAGGACTATGGCAGCAATATTTATTTGATATAAATTCCTAAACACTGTTTTCAAAAGCTGCTTCAGAAGCATCTGAGACTATCTTGAAATTTCTCTCACATTTACCATATTAATTTCTTTGAAGCTGTTTCTTAGGTATTTTGGCAAATGTTAATAGAGAAGTTTGATAGGGCTGGGATTGAGCTTGGTGATACTGTTTCTTAAATTTTCCCTGTCTTTTTTTGGGAGATGGCGAGGATGTGAGGCAGATAGTTTTCTTCATTTGGTTTGTTTGGTTTTAACCAGAAGGGAAGAGGAAGAGGAGAGGTAATGTATGAGCAGGAGAAGCTCACGAAAAAAACACCCAACACAAGGAAAGGGAGATAAGCCTAAACATCTTTTTCCTAACTAGTCATGGATAATTGAACACAGCCTTTATCTCTCTTTTCCTTTGGTTTATAATGGTAATATAGTATGCGTTTCTATTAGTAGAGGGGTCTTGCTAAGCAGCATTATTGAATTTGTATTTTTATTCATTTAAGGTTCGATGTGGAAAAGGAATGTTCTAAAATTGATGAAGGCTTTGAAGAAAGTAACTCAAAAGCAAGATTCTTTAGTAGGTCAAGTCTACCTATAATTGAAAAGAAGATAGACACAACTGGTAAAGTCTTAGAAACATATGATTTTTGTTTAATTGTAATACTGTGTTGCAGAGTGTGAATACAAATTGAAGAATCGTATTATAGAGTTAAAAGTGTCTATCTATTTTTCAGCCTCTAGAGATGCTAAAAGTTGTTAGGAGGTCAACTGATCTTGAAGCCGTATTTGAAAAAAACCTAGTCTTGGTGTTAATAATCAGTTAAAATTTTTATATTGTGTTTAGGTTGAGAGTGCTAGGTAAAGAAGTAAAGCATGTATCTGCTATTATAAACCAATGGTAGAGGTTAGCCAACCACTTTCATCTTGCAATCTGAATTGTATGCCTGTCAGAAGAATTTAGGGGGTTATTATGGAAAATAAAATACAAATTTGTCTTTTAGTAGGCCATGTTCTTTTAGAAAAATAATATACAGATTATGACATTCAAAGTATATTAGCTGACTGTGTTTTGATTGCATCTGTGAAAGCTATTAGTTGTTGCTATGTATAAATATTTTTTTCTAGGCATGACAAAGAAAGAGAAGATTTTTATTGCTACTCGTGAAAAAGAAAAAGGCAATGAAGCCTTTGCCATTGGTGATTATGTGGAAGCAGTGACATATTATACTCGGTGAGTAAATACTATTGTGTTCTTCTATTTTAATGATTGTTACTTGTGAATATTATTTTTAGAGCAATGTAATTAAAGCAACTTCTTACTGAAGCAACTAGTGACAAATTATTTTCAAAAGAAGAAAAAGATTTGACAGAAGAATACTTAAAGCACTGTTGCATCTTGATATTAATTTTTATTTATCAGGAAGAGAAGTGGATAAATAGTGATGGGATGCAATCTGCAGGTGTCACAGAGTTCTTCGGATTTTTCAAAACCATTGCAATTCAAGGGCAAGTTTAGAAAAATAAAAGGATAAGCAATATGTTGAGAAACTAAATTAATTACACATTAATTCTAATTAATCCTATCTGTTGGATTGTCTCAATTGTTAATAAGTAAAATTGATGTATTAACCTCTTCTTAGGAGAAAGAAAAGTCACTGTGTGCAGCTTCATCATAATACTGTGTGTAATTAGTAGCAGTCCAGGAAAAAAGTATATAAACACAGGATTAAAAAAAATTAGACTCTTACAGGTTGCTTGCCTTATTTAGTGCTCAGTGGACTACACTTTGGCTTTATAAATAGAGGTTGTTGCTACAGGACCTTTGTTGTATTTGTTTCAAAAATGGAAAAGTTCAAGGTGAACAGAATTGAGCACCACAGGAAGAGATGGATAGTGTTTCAGTTAAGGTATTTGCATGCTACCTTGGGAGAACTAAATTTTTTCTCTACCTTTTTCACAGTGTTCAAACATGATGCCATTTACACAAACCAGGATTTTCATGAGACCAACATTGGTTTCTCATTTGCAGATTACCCATCTTGAGACACTAGAGGTCTGACTTGCAAAAGCACTGACTACTCACACATAAAACCAACGTTAAAGGAAACTCAATTTTGTGTTTAAATCCGTGCTTTGAAATGATAAGGACTTAAAAAAACCCACAAATCCTAGAAGTGTCAAAATTGTCACTTAGAAATTGAGAGCATATGGGAATCTTGGGTTATTAATTACCAGTATAAACTGAGGGTAATGATATGGCACTAGTGTGAGATGAAGTGTTAAGATAATTAATGGACTACAATATTATAGTGGAGTATCCTCAAAAAAAAATTATGAGGAAGTTAATGCGTCTGTGGTCAGTGCAGACAAGTATGGAGAAAATAATGAATAGGAATAAATTGTGTGCAACAGCAATAAAATAAATATTGAACAGATTTATGTTTAGGGAGCAACATTCATACTGTCACTGAAGGAGGAAGGGTTTTGTAGAACAGCTTATGAAAATTTACCTGGAGATTATTGATATGTATATGTGCACAAAGGTACTGATATTCATAGTGCGCAGGCAGTTTAAACTGAGGCATTTGGTGTGTATCTTTTTTGTTCTGGACTTGCAACCTTAACATCTTTCTTGGTTTTTTTAATACATGAACATGAATATAAAAAACATCCATAGCTGTATTTCATACACAATAAATAAAATACAAATCCATAATATAAAAATAAGTAAAAAAATCTCTTCTTTGGGGGCATAACTAAGGTATTAATTAGTAAGGATGGGCAGAATCTTTCCTAACAGAGAGTCTTTCCATATTCGACCCCCATGGGGCATTGTACACCTTCTGAAATACATGATACTGACACTGCATGCTGTTCTAACTGGGCACTTTTCTAATACCATCTAAAAATTCCTATTTTCTTACATTTAGAAATATTTAATAAAACATATTTTGGAGTGAATTGGTAATAGTCTGAAGGGGTTATTTGTATATGGCTAAAATGGAAAAAGAGTAGAGTTCTAGATCAAAATAATCTGATTCCAGTTATTTATCCTGTTTGTCTTGTAATAAGGCAATATTCTGAGCTGAACGTAGAGGGTACTTCTTATTTTACAAAAACCAAACCTCTCTCATTTCTAGATATTCAAAACTTTTGCAGAGGAGGTGCTCTGACATAGTTCTACTGTGCTGATGTGATTTTAAAATAAATGATCTTCATGTTTTTCTGCATACCTCTAGTGAAATCAGTCTGCTTTAGTAATTTCAGTTATATTGCAGAATCGTAGACTAATTTAGGTTGGAAGCCACCTCTCAATGATATTTTGGAGAAATTGTCTCTCACAGCAGGGCCAAGTGAGATCAGGTTACTCAGGGCTCTGTTCAACTAAGTTTTTAATATCTCCAAGGATGGAGATTTCACAGTCTCTCTAGGCAGCCTGTTGCAGTGTTTAACTACCCTTACAGTAATATTTTTTTTTCCTAAAACGTCATCAGAAATTCCCTTTTTGCAACTTCCGTTTGTTGGCTTTTGTCCTATCAGTGTACACTTCTGAGAAGGATGTGGCTCTGCCTTCTCCATACCTTCCCATTAAGTAATTGAAAAGAGCTGTGAGACCTCCCCTGAGCCTTTGCTTCTGGCTGAACAAACCCAGTGATCTCAGACTCTCCTCATACGTATTGCATGTACTCTAGTCCCCTAACTATCCTGGTGACATGCTGGACTCACTCCAGTCTATTGATGCCTTTTGTGTTAGCAGAGCCCCAGACTGAACACAAATATTCCACTTGTCTCGTAAGTGCTGAAGAGAGGGGAAGAATCACTTCTGTCGACCTCCTGGCTACAGTCTTGCTAATATAGCCCAGCATGCTGTACGCCTTCTTTGAGAGCACAGTGTTAACTCCTGTTCAGTTTGTTGTCTGCCAGAGCCTTCAGGTCTTTTCCTGCAAAGCTGCTTTCTAGCTCCTTGGCCTGTACCATTGCTGGAGTTCCTCTGTTTCAGGTGCAGGAGTTTGTGCTTGCCTTTTTTTGAACTTCCTGAGAAGTCTGCCAGCCCGTTCCTCTGGCTTGTTAAGGTGCCTTTGACTGGAGTTCTGCTTTCCAGTGTATTATTGACTGTTCCCCCCACAGCTGTCAAGTGTATTATTGACTGTTTGTATCATTGACAAACTTCTTGGGGGTGCCTTCTGTTCCATCTTACACCTGCCTGATAAAGACATTAAAAAGTATTCATCCCAAACGGAGTCCACTGGTAACTCGTCACCAGTTGGACTTTGTATGGCTCAATTCTTTGAGGCCAGCAGTCCAGTTAGTTTTCTGTCTGCATTATTGTCCACTTACATAGTCCATGTTTTACCTATTTGGCTATAAGAATACTGTGGGAGATCACGTCAAAGGCTTTGCTACAGTCAAGGTAAGCAACATCTTCTGTACTTCCTTCCGTAACTGAGCCTCTAAGCAAAGAAGGCTATCAGGCTGGTCTTGGCATGGTTTGCTTTTGGTAAATCTATGCGATCTATTGCCAGTCACCAGCTTATCCTTCATGTGCCTAGAGAGGAATTCAGAAAGACTTGCTCTGTAATCTTTCTGAGAACTGAGGTTAGACTGACCCGTCTATAGTTTTCCAGGCCCTCCACATTGCCGTTCTTGAACATATATGTGACTTTTGCCTTTACCAGTCACCAGGAACCTCTCCCAGTCACCATGACTTTTCAAAGATGATATAGAGCAGTCTTGTAGTAACATTGGCCAGCTTCCTGAACACCCCATCTGGAACTTGTGTACATCCTATTTTCTTAAGTATTTCCTAACTTTATCTTCCTGTCTTGTGGGTACTGCTTCACTCCTACAGCATCTGCCTCTAGAGTCAGGGAGCTGTGAAGCCTGAGAGCAGACCTTACCAATGAAGGCTGAGGCAAAGAAGCCACTAACTACCTCAAACTTTTCCGTGTCCTTTGTCACTAGGTCCTCTGCTGCATTGACCAGTGGGCCCATAGTTTCCTTAATCTTCCCTATTCTCCTCCTAATAGCACTTCCCTATTGCTTCCTCTTCCCAGTGAACACAGTTTAGAGTCCTTTTTGCTAGGTTAGCAAGGGTGTTGGCAAAGATTCTCTTGCACCACTTTGTCATATGCATACCAGTTGTTCTTATTCCTCAGAGATAATCCTGTTGTTACAGAAGCTAAAGCTCTGCCTAAATTACCAGCCACGCAGCCAGACGTTGACCTGGACAATTCATCCACTTTTACCTGAGTCTTTCCCTTTTACAAGCAAGATCAAGGAGAAGCCCATGTGGCCCCCCCATGCTCTTCATCATAATCTCCAGACCTCTGTAGTTACTCTTGATACTCTCAAAGGTTCCATTTGGTAGGATCATTCAAGCCTACATGGATGGCAGCAAGCGGTAATAGTTTAAGTGACAGATGAGCCATGGCATCTTCTCTGCAACATCTCAGATCTAAGCCCTGGCAAGCAACAGACCTCTGAAGATGGTAAATCTAGTTGGTGGGTGGTTGCCTCTGGTCTCGCAGGAGAGAGTTTCTAACCACTACTGTGGTTAGAATATCAGTATTAATATTGTTATAATAATGTTTTCAGTTTCCAATAGTGAAGTGTTTCTACATTCAGGTTTTCTAACTATAAGCCTACCATGTTCAACATTCTCTTTTTTCAGGAGTATATCAGTAATACCCACTGCAGCTGCATATAATAACAAAGCTCAAGCAGAAATCAAACTTCAGGACTGGGACAGTGCTTTGCAGGATTGTGAGAAGGTACTAGATATGGAACCTGGCAATGTAAAAGGTAAAGTAGAACATAAACTTGCCCTTCTATGTATTATTTTATTTCTAGCAAATATAATGGTACATAGCCATTCATATTGTTAGTTGACTTAACTGAGCTTTAGATCAGGTCCAAGTACAATTAAGGAAACAGAGCAGCTCCCCAAAATAATTTTTACAGTATTTTCGGGATCAGGGAAGTTTTATGCAGTTCATCCTGTTGATCTGTAATGTGTATACTTATGTGGTAGCATGGGGCTAACTCTTGTTTTTCATATGATGACTGTGAGCCCTCTTGTATTTGTGGAGTGCATTGTTTCCATAATACCCACACTGAAGTATTAATTACCTTAAAAGAGACATGAAAACAATGAAAGTTGCTGATTTAATAATTTCTGAAGGCAAGGGCTTGAATGTAGCTAAGTATATTTGCATGGGAGGAGGGGGAAAAATTGGAAAAAGATGAAAATGTGCTTCACAATTTATGTGCTATCTAAAAGGTCTCATGTGAAATTGCATTATGAAGCTATCAAGAGCACAGTTATTACTGATACAGAGTCATTCTGAAGTAAATGCAGAATTTTAAAAACTGTTTTACACTTAATGTGTCTAGAAAAAATAGTGTATTTTTATCTGCTTTATGCTTTAAATACATAAATAATACACTTTGTTCCTTTGTAGCTCTGATGCGCCGTGCCACTGTACACAATCAGCTGCAGAATTACCAGACAGCTGTAGAGGATCTGAAGAAAGTATTATGCGTTGAACCAGAAAACGCTATAGCTAAGGTAAAGATGAGTTGAATATGACTAGAAAGAGGTTGTATGCAGTTGTAGCATAAAGCGAGTACAGTTTATATTGTTTGATTTGAATATGAGTTTTGAGGACACACTCGATCTACTGTGCCAATGATCCATTTCCCAAGACGACATAGATGCCTGTGGTGGAAATTAGGTAGTTGAATGTGACCAGATGTTCTGTTCACTACTTAATCATGAGAACCTGTAGGCATTCAAGTCTTCTAGATTGATGTAATTTACGTGCCTAAAATTTTACTGCTGAACATGCTTACAGTATTAGTGTTTTAGCTGATCAAAGTTATTTGGAAATTTCTCTCAAAAAGATCCATTGGATAGGTGTATTTAAGTTTGACACATAATTCACAAGAAAAATTCAAAAGAGATGCCAAGCTTTTATTGTTGTAGTGGTAAAGTTAACCCAAAAGGAGAGGACCTGGGATCTGTCCTCACTTCAGCGTGATGTTATAAATCCTCATTTCTCACGTCCAGGCTAGAGAATGAAAAAGCTTTCATACCTTCTGATGAATCTGGAACTGTCTTAGCCAATTTTGGATCTAAGAAAGCCAGGTGCTTTCTTTGGAAACTCAAAGTTTGGATGTGGTCCTTGTACTACTATTACTTCAGCTATTTAGGAGAGGATTGGTTCATGTCCTTTCATTGGTATCTTCTTAGGGGTGTTTTGTGGGTTAGAACCCTGTCCTTGCATTTGGACTCTACATGTCCTGAGAATCCTCAGTACTAGGCAGTTCTGATACTAAACTGCTCTTTGTCTGTTAGGAGTCCATCAGACTGCTACCCTCCCAGGTTTTTTATGTATGACTTCTGGATGCTGTGCAATTTCCTCATCACCTGAACTCTGTTCAGCTCTTCTTGTTGGCACATTTTGAGCTGCTAGCAGCTTGCTGATTGCTAGTTCTTTCCCTGGAGTTATTTGATCACTGCTATTTCTTGCACTAGTGAGAGAGATCCAAGCTTGTTACGTCAAATTCACTGCATACAGCATTCATCCCTTTTAGGGTGTTCTTGGAGCTAAATTCCTGTCCAGAATAGTTCCCGAGTTTCACATCAACCAAGGAATCAACCTGCCTGCTTTTTTTTCCTCTTTCTTTCTTTTTAAACCCCTGTCTCTAGATTTGAGTTCTAAAAAAAGCTTTTGGTTTTTTTTTCTGTTTACAAGACTGAACCACTAAGCCTGTGTTCACAAACTCCGCAACAGTCTTTGTGAAAAGATTATCAAATAGGCTGTGATGAGATTTCTTGTAATACCAGACAGAACATACCCATTCATTTCGAGTACACTCTTCCAGAGATCTAAATACATTAGTAGCTTTGCTGAGCAATGCTTCTGTAGCTGAAAGCAGATGTCTGTACTTTGTCCTTATCTGTGTCAGCTATTATGCCTTGGCTGAGACGTGTAGAAGTAACAAGTGCTTGGCAGGGCATTTTTTTTTTGAGTTGCTCTTTGCTTGGAGGATCCTCAAAACCGTCTTGAGCTAAACATGAATGTGTGGAACACATGCAGAGTGAATGTTTATGTGCAGAGTCACTAATATAAAGGTAAATTGGTTGTCAGTAATAGGAATTCTTCAAGGTACTTTGTCCACATGAATCTTTGCTTGCTGCTGTCCTTGTTTTATGTTTTTCATGAGGAACTGAGTACTGATGGCTCTTCCTTGTACATCATTGAATTAAATTCAGAATAATGCATTATGTTGGGTGTGTCTTACTTGGCTCTGAAAGTGTGAAGTGCAGTTGGAGTATTTTTTTTGAGTAATCAAAAATGTTTATGGAATGAGAGGCTGATCATCTAATTTGCAGTTCTTAGAAGAGGAGCAAACCTTTTCAGTATTCAACAGTGTCCTTCTGCTACACTGCTAAGAAATCGTCGTCTCTTGATTTTAGTTGTATCAGTTACATTCCTCCATCAGATATCATTCACACACCAAATTCTCCATAGCATAAATTTTGACAAACTGTTTTTAGGCTTTTTCGGAGATTGTGGAAGGAGCCTGTTTTCCATGTCTCTTCCGAGTAGACCACACCAGGTGTCACAATAGTACAGCCTACTTTTTTTCCTTTTGATGTAAACTTTTTTTGCTTAAGCAGTTCATTCAAGAAAAGTACTTATTTATTTGTGTGATATCTTCTGAGTTTCTAAGAGGCAGAAATTGAGTGTTAATCTTGGTTTTGATACTGACTCTTGGAAAAGTGATGTTTATTTTCTCTGTTTTTATATTGGTAACATTTATCTCAATAGTTCTTCAGGATCTTATGTGGATTATTTAACAGAATGTATTTTCTGTATATAAATTACAATTTATATAGCTATTAAAAAAGGCTTCTGCTATTGTTGTTTTTTCTCTATTGCAGAAAAATCTGCTAGAGATTGAAAAGAAACTGAAAGGTTTAAAGCCTGTATCTGAGACTCAAGGCAAAGGAAAAAGAATACTTATTCAAGATGCAGAGGATTCAGAAGGTGATGAAGAAAGAGTGGAAAATACAGAAGAACATGAAAGAAGTGGTAGAGATAAAAGTAATGTCATGTCATTTCCTATTTAATTTTAACCTGAGGAAAAAAATTATTGCCTTTGATATTGCAATGTTCACACAATTCACCCATATTTGCTTGCAAAGAATTTTCCCTGTTTGAAGACTAAAATTACATTCACTACTTAAAGTGGATCTGAGTGTGAAATCTAGAATGCAGTTTTATTACACGTCTTTGGAATTATTTCTAGAAAGGGTATAACAGAGACCGATGGAAAATGCTGCTATAAATCACCTACTTCCCTGTGTCCTGTATAATTTTATACCTGTCCTTTGATGTGGACCCAGTTGGGAATTTCTTCTGGTGTTAGAGAACATTTTGTGTTCCTTAGCTTTTTCTTTCGCACAGCTTTCCTGCCTTCCCGCCATCACATTTTTCTTCTGCATTTTCCTCCCTTGATTGCATCAAAGGGTATAAAAATGATCAAGTGGCATGTAATTTGATTTTTTTTGGTGGTTGGTTGTTTTGAAAACTATCCATATTTTTTTGTTTTTTAATGTAAGAGATCATCTCTGTGCTCCGAAAGTATATATTAGAGGTAAACAATGTGTAATTCTTGTACTGTGTGTAGTTCACAAGCAGTTGAAGTGCAGCTCCTGTTCCTGGATTAGTGTGTGACTAACTGCAAGACTGCTGAGATGAAGCTACTGGCATAATCAGAATACATGACTTAGAGGAGGAAGTGAGGCAGCAGGGGCTATTGAGGTTTGTGCTGGCAGGTTGCTTTTAGATTCAGTTGCATGTCTGGGCTCCAGCCTGCAACATCCCTAGGCAGCCAATTTCCACCCTTTCTCCTTTCTGTTGGTTCTTTAAGGTAATGTGGCATGACAACTGTGACTTTTCTGTTTTCTGTGGCCTATGTAGTTCTTTATCTTGAAATTAAATCAATCTGTGGGTTTTCCAACTTAATCGTGAATATTAGACGGTAATGTGTGATTTGATAATGCATTATTTGCACACAAATTTAAGGAAAATACATTTTTCAAAATCAGTAGGTATTCTCTAAGTCTCATCAGCTAAAAGCCTGGAAGAAAGGATGGATCATGTTCCCAGCCTTAAATATTGGTTAATTTAGGGTTGCTTTCCATTGGGAGCATTCAGATGACTAAGTGCCTTCTAGCTCCATAGGAAGACTCCCATTCTGTTGATGAAAGGGTAGGCTTTTAAACACAGGGAAGATTGTCAACTGATGTCAATGTCACATCTGGTCATGTGATATACAGAAGTACTTTTGAGACTTAGGAGGCAAGCATCTTCATAGATTACTCTGTGTTTTCAAGTACAACTGGAAACCAATACGAAGTCAGTTCAGTTACTGAATAAATCTGATACATCCTGTGAACCTAACAGCAATAAGTAGACTAAGCATCTTATAAGTGTTCTCTATACATCTAGACATGTAGTCACAGTCAGTCTAGTAGTCCATGTAGTCCAGTCATGTAGTCACATTTATTTCACAGTCTAGTTGGTAAGCCTCATGCATTCCTACTAGACTTATAATTTAGACATTGGAAGAAAACCAACAAAATGTTTTTTGTTTTCTTTAGCTCTGAAGAATTGATTTCTCAGCTTTGAACAAAACAGCCTAAATAAAGAGCGTAGTCTCTCTTCATCTTCTATGTAACTGAAAACAAAAGTAAATAAAATCCTTTTTGCACAATAGAAACGGAAAATTGCTTATGTCCTAGAGACTGTAAAAACTAGTATTCAGGCACTGTAAAAACTAAAAATCATGTATGTACTCGACAAAGCGCCTGATATTGTGACATGTTTATAGAAGTTATTAAGGCATAAATACGGTTTAAAGATAAATAAATAAATTTTAAATAGCCCCTTTTAATTCATAATAAACTGCTGAATTGTGTGATATTTACTTGATCCATTACAATAATTAAAAAAATATTGTAGTAAACAGTTCTGAAATTTAGTGAATATTTATTCATAAAAAGGATAGTGCATTTAAACAAATAAAGTCTAAGTTAGCTTTAAAATTATTATTTCTGAACCTGTTATTGCTAAAGTTGACAACAGATGTCTCTTTAGAAGATGTACTTTGGGCACCTACAAGAAACCTCCTAACAGACAAAGTTACGTTTTGCGAGTTGACCGTGGGAAAAGATGTTGCCTAGAGAGTGTTCTCTTTGTGCATGGTTTATTTATTACACTTCAGAGGTGAAGAGAATATTCTTCTGGATGAGACCTTTTTCCCAATTCAGGATAATTTTTATTTTTTTTTTTTAAATTTTGTATGTGTCCTCCTGTTTTGTGCACCTTGAGATTGCTAGTTTGGTACACTGACACTTGATATTAAAGCATCAGAGCACCTCTTTTTCCTTTGTGTTAAATCCTTCATCTGACTTCTAGTTTCACCGCCTATGTGGTATTAAATTTACTTGATGCCACAGCAGTTGGCTATGGAGAATTATTTTGTGATTTTTTTTTTTTTTCCCCTCATCTGTTTTCTACTTGATAACACCAATTTAAGGTCTTTGTCATTGAATGTGACAGTACTGTGATTTGGAACCATTCTTAGATTGAAGAGCATCTCCTTATATTAGTCCGCTATTTTGTTTTCTTTCACTAGATTATCCTTTTTGGGGAACGTTGTTAGGAGCTGAAAAGTACGAAAACTCTCTCTGCATCCTTGATGCATTATATACTGTGTTCTCAACTGGTCTTGGCCGTGTATCATGGTTTCTCTGAAGAAGTGGGCTTTCTGCCCTTAAATAAATGGAGCTGTCATCATAATGACTGATTTACAGCTTTCCAAAACAAATAGGGGTTGATAACACTCTTTGAATTTATCTTATTGATTTTCTAAACATGTTTTTTGAAATGGACATCTTCAAATAAAGGTTGGATTCAATGATGCCAGAGGTCTCTTGCAACCAAATCGATTCTCTGATTCTGTGAAATAAAACTAGATTCTTTGTCTTTACTTTTTTTTTTCCTTGAATTATTCCATATGGAATAATGAAACATTTATTTGATGTTACAGATAATTCTTCAACATGTGTTCATGGCTTTTCACAGAGAACAGAAGTTTCTGATTTGTGGAGAAGCAAAGCATATTGGGTAGGAGACAATTAGACCTCTTTCCTACCAAGTGATCAGTTGTGCTTGCTGTTGTGTTTTTGTATTGCTTTCTGCTCTTCTCTACCACTGAGGCTTTGAGATAATTGAGGTATCTGTTGGTTAATGCTTACTGGCTGCTCTGTATCCTTGCTCACTTGGCCTTTATGCCATACATGAATTTGCACCTATCCAAATCTTAATTTGTAGTAATCTCTGTGAATAGAATTTTATTGTAATAGGAAGTTTCTTTGCCATGGCAGCCTTGAATAATTAACTGTGTCTGTTCTCCTTGTGGTTGGAAGACTTATTGATGAGGTCTTGTGTGAGGACATTTGGCCACCTTGTTATCTGATAGAACAGTTATTCTGTATTCCTTGATCCTCTTTCCAGTGTGCTATTTTTGATTTTTTTAGAATTGTAAACTCTCTGAAGAAGGAACTCTCATTTATAATTAATTTGTGTAGCGTGTAGCACAACGGGGCCCAACCTACTGTGGCTTTTAGGCTCTATTGCAAGCTTGCAATATGAAAATTTAGGTCATGTTAAAATAAACAGCATTAAAAATTCACTCTAGCATTGCACTTATAATGCATATCCTGAAGTTAAGAGAACCCCTCAATTACAGTGTCAGTATAAATGCTGACCAGTAAATCTTTTTTCATTCTTTATAAACAAAGACTGCTCCTAAGCAGTGAGAGATCAGAGTTCTGTTCGTCTTATCTTCTGGCTCAGAATAATCCAGGTACAATCTCAATCGGCTACACCAAGAACACATAATACAAAAGAGATACTTGCTGACTATGTGTGGCAAAAAAGCAAAAAATATTTTAAATTATTAAAAATCTGTGGTGATTTTGGCCATTCCAGTTGCCTTCGTATGTAGCTAGTCCAGAGTGGCTAAGACTTGAAAATGTTTCCTGGCTTCATAATAGGTGAATTCATTGTGAACTGAACTTAGATATGTTGCTTTTCATTCTGCCACCATTATTTTTGTCCCATGCTTCTGGAGGATAAATACTTTGTGTAGCTGGAAATAAAGTGAAAGAACGTAATCCACTAAAAAAAAACCACCTTCAAATATTCCTTTTGAAGTATTCAGTAGCTTTTGTTTTATGATAGTCCTTCCATTTTAAGTTTGTTATTTTAGTGGTAACATGAATTAAAATTCTTTCTAGTTTGTTGTCATTCTGGTCAAAATCCTGTCCATACTTTTCAGTACCTTTCTTTAACTTTTCTTTGGAATTTATTTTTTTTTTTAAGAGAAGTTCATAAACGCAGATTTATTTTTATTAAGGCAAAGCCTAGAATACTGCTTTCATGAATACATTTCTCTGTAGAGACCAATACAGGAATAATTTCTGTAATTTGGAACAACCTGGAGTTCATCTATATTCAATCAACTTCAGAAGTTTAGTTTAAGTCAATTGGAAGTATCACTCCAATATATGAAGGCATGAAAAAATTATGTTGGACAGATGAACACATTAAGTTAAGGAAAGATGAAAACCTGGCATGTTAATAGTACGAAAACACAGAGTTGCCTTTGTGTGACTGCTAGTTTTAAGAGTCAGTTTCTCTGCAGAAATCTGTATTTGAATACTGTGGTGGTAAACTGTTAGGAATTCAGGTAAGGAATATATATATATAAAAATATGTGTATATATATAAAAAATATAAATATGTGTGTATATATATAAAAATCCAATATCCTTATTGTATGATCTTTTCTAATTAAGTCAGTAATAAATAATAGTGAAAGTTGAATGATCAGAGTTATCTATAAAGGGCTTTTTCACATTATGTTTAAATGAAACTTTTCTGAGAATTACTTACAAGTTTTTATCTTTCCTATTCTGTTATATTTGAGGAAAGTTTTGAAGTGTGCAACATGACCGGTTTGTTAGCTGTGTGTTCTGATTTTAACACGCAAGCATTTTGATTTGGTCGTGGAAAACCAAAGTATCAGTATTGTAATAGCCGGTATTTAAAGAGTTAATTTCCAGGTGAACTCGGCACCATTCTGGCACTACAGAACAGGGGTTCACAATGTGCCCAGCAAGGAGAAGCGAGATTTCATAGTAATACCTTCTCAGTAATACCTGCCTGGCAGTAGGAATTCCTCTGGGTTCTGGGAAGTGTTTTCTGAGGCAAATAAATCTGCTGAACATGCGGATGCGCGAAGGATTTGGTACCGTGTTCTTTGGCTGTGCACCCCTCTTTTGGCAGGACGATAGTTTCTCCTGATGATGCAGGCTCTAAGTGAGCTCATTAACTTCCTTGTAGGAATTGGCGTGGCAGTGAGAGGCGAGGCGGCGATGGGGGCCGCCCAGAGGAAGCTCCACAGCCGGGGAGGAGGCAGTACGGCGGAGGGGGGGCAGGCACAGAACCAGAAGGAATCCCCTGAGAGCCGGTTGAAAAAAGGCGCATCAGAGAAAAAAACACAAAAGCACTTGTCAGACCATGAAGGTGAAGTTAACGGCTGTTTACCCAGTGATGGAAAGGGTGAAAGCCCTGAAGGTGAGAAGACCCCCAGGTCGCATGGAGCAGGGTCTCGGTCGGCTGGCGGTGGCAGTTCTACTTCCCTTCCCGCCGCTGCAGCGAAACGAAAGAGTGAGGGAAACGAGTTATTTAAGAGTGGGCGGTTTGGAGAAGCTGTGCTCAAATACTCGGAAGCAATTGAGTATGTCGTTGGTCTAGGTGAGTGTAACACCTTATACTTTAATCTGGGATTGTTGTTTAGGTTATTTAAACGGACTACAAATGAACTAACCTGGCCTATCCCTGGGTTTTTGGCAGTAGTTTCTGTGCAGAAAGTTCTTTGTCATTTCATTAGAGGACAATTGACGTGACACAAAATATGGGAAGATGAGTGAAATAATACTTTTAACTTCCTTGGGCCAGAGCTGCTTGCGTTTATTTATGTGTTTGAACAATTACATGTTCTAGGTGATGGGATAAAGGAAGGCTCTTTACAGCTTTGCATTGTCAGCAAACTGCCTCACTGCAGGGCAACTTACAGTATGCAAGTCTTTAATTCTTGAATCTCATTTTGTAATGGTCTTTGATTTTAATTGTGTCATCTTTTAGGAGAACAAAGTCCAGATGATTTAAGTATCTTGTACTCAAACAGAGCAGCGTGTTACCTCAAAGAAGGGAACTGCAGTGACTGCATTCAGGATTGTAACAGGTAAATTGCAACCTCCCATGTAGAGCAACAACATTCCTGACGATGATTAAACATTTTAACTGATATATTGTTACTGCAGTTTGACTGAGAACAATCTTCAGTAGAGTCTGATTCCCTGTCTAAATGACAGATACCTTTGTCAGTTACGTAAACAATCACATGGAACCTAGGGAAGGAGTAATTTTAGCTTACTGTCTTACTGTGTGAGGGCAGTTCTTGGGCTTCCTGTGTACACAGAAATGCATAGCAGAATTAAAATTTTTAGTGTAAAAGCAGCCTTACTTCAGTGATGCTCTGTAACTTCCATGTAAAAGCTTTGTTAAGTCAGATGCTTATGACAGTGTTGGAAATTGCTTTCAAGCATGTGTATGGTGTATATGTGTGTGTTCTCTGTGTTTGGTTTGGCGTTTTGTTTTTTTTAGTATCTACTTGGAATAGTTCTAAACAGTAATTACAGCTGTTCAGTAATTGAGCTAAAATCCTTTCTGCTTATTGTGGCTTTTAAGAATACAGGAGTTAGAGAAGATCAAACACCTTCAATAACTTCTGAACACTGCCTTCCACTAAATTATTACTGTATTTCTAGATGTTTTTTTTTATATTTTCGTAGATAGAGTTAGTAAGACTGAGGCTTAAGGTGCAAAAAAGCATCTCAAGACAGTTAGAAATCATGTTAATTAATTGGTTGGGTTTTTTTACGGCACAACCCAACTGTGGAAAAAAAATGCATGTACCTTTGTATTGGCTAAATATTTGACTTGCTGTATATATTCTACCTGACAGAAAAGTTTTCTGGAAATGTCATTGGAAAACATTGACTTGTTAACAATATTTTGTTGAAGTAGATGCAGGACCATAGACAGCTGGCTGATAAAACAAGATGACATACTTAACACCCATCACATTTTTCTATTCAGGTTTGAAGTATGTAAGACTTTAATTGAAATCAGTAATACAAAGGGTTTAGGTTTTGTATTCTTAGCAATTGGAAGTTTATTTTCTTACTACTTAATGTCATGCATATTTTCTGGATACACAAGGACCTTTGATGCTTACTGAACACAACAGAGGTAGAAATAATTTAGAGACTGGGAAGCAGAACTGCAAAACTGCAAATACACATGAATTAGGCAATGTCAATTAAATCTCTTCTAGGCAACACAACATAAAGGATGACCTATGACTAGTTTACTTGATTTCAAAGTAAAAAATGGTGTAGTGCTTGTATTGGTGATAAAAAAATCAATATTGAACATTTATCTTTTATTAAATTTTAGCTATTTAAGACTTAGAAGTGTATAAAACCCCCTCTATTGGATCTGTGTTTGTCTCAAGACTGATTTGGACTGCCTTTGATTCTTGTTACAGAGAGTGAAAGTAGGGCTCCTATGCACTAATGTTACTTTATTTAGTACTGTAGTGTGGTTTGGTCCCTGGCTGTATTATCTTTGCATTGTACCCTGGAAATGTAGTTTTCCATTCCCACTGATGCTATTCTTCAAGCAGTGCCGTCTTCCCCTTAATTTATTAATGATTGTTTTTTTTCTTCATTCTTGATGTTAGGAACCTGAAATTGTGTTAATGTCCTTCTAAGTTACAGAATGTCAAGCGTTTTTCTTGAGGTTTTGTAGGGGTTGTGATGTTGTGCGCTGTTGTATTTCTCAAATGTATTCAGCAACATAAAGAAAAATGGAACATTGAAAATATTTATGAAATGGAAATTGGAAATGTTTATTCCAGAAATCATTGCTTCTCTAACTTTTGGAGGAGTAATGGTGCAAAGCCAATTTACAGCAAAGAAGGCTAACAGCCTCCTGGGCTTATAAACAGGAGCACAGCCAGTGGATTGAGGGAAGTGCTTATCCCCTTGTACTCAGCACTTGTTAGAAAACATCTATGGTAACTGTGCTTGTTTTCGGCTTCCCCAGTACAGGAAAGACAGTGATCAACTAGAGTGAGTTCAGTGAAGCGCCACTGAGTTGGTTGTGATCTCTGGAACACTTGCTTGGAGAGGAGAGGCCGAGGGAACTGGGTTTGTTCAGCTCAGAGGAGAATGACTTCCAGGGATTCTAACAGCAGCCTCCCAGTACCTATGAGGCGATTATCCAGAGGATGGATCCTGGCTCTTTCTGGTAGTACATTGTGGGAGGACAAGAGACAACAGGCAAAAATTGAACCACACAAGGTTCAGACTGTGTATTAGGAGAAACCTTTTCCCCATGAATAGCCAGGGGCATTGCAACAGGTTGCCCAGAGATGTACAGAGATTCCCTTGGAGGTTTGCAAGGCTCAGCTGGGTAAAGCCCTGAGCAACCCTGTCTGATCTCAGAGCTGACCCTGCCTGTAGCAAGAGGTTGGACTAGGGACCTCTCAGCTGGAATTACTTTATGATTCCATGAAATCTAATTGACTAGACTCATCTTAATTTCAGTACTTCAAAGTTTTATCTGTCTCTTTAGCAAGAATCATTGGTTTATAAAAGGTAGTCTTTAATAAAGAAAGCCTTTGTGGGCTGCTTTTTCATATGACTGGAAAAGCGCATGGGTTTGGAAGGAGTTCTGATTGCACAGTATCAGAGGTTGAGCTCAATGTTGACCAGGCACACAGTCAGAAGAGTAAACAGACAAAAGACAGGCAAAAACCTAAAAGCCAAAAAAAGACAGGTGTATATTCACATCTTACTAAATGTATTTTTTACATGTATACTTCTCTGTAAGGAAGAAGAACTGAAAGTCATGTAGGCAAAAGCACCATACATTTGAAATTCTCATAGATCTAGGCATGACTTAAGAAAAATAGCTTTTGCTCTTGAACAGCTGCCATTACATTAATCTTTTCTTGGTGGTGAAAGCAGTTTTCCAGATGGAAGACAGGGTTTTGTAAGTTGGAGTAAAAGCACCAACAATTTCATAACTGCATATCATTTAAGGTATTAATATAAACTACTTAGTCCCATTTTCCTTGGTTATGTTACTGTAAGGCCCATCTGAAATCACAGAGTTGTTACATATAGTTGTGTATATCATAAAATAATTTTATTAATATTATTTCTGTTACTCTGTTTCAATCCTGCACTTTTCTTTTGTTTTCTGCAGAGCTCTGGAGCTTCAGCCATTTTCCCTTAAGCCTCTTCTACGACGAGCAATGGCAAATGAGTCTATGGAACGGTATCGACAGGCATACATTGATTATAAAACAGTCCTACAAATAGACAGCAGCATCCTAGCAGCAAATGATAGTGCTAATAGGTAACTCCAGTTGAAGATTTTCTGATACTAGTCCAAACAGAAAAGTAAAATTCAATTTTATTTTACATGCTGCCTCTGTTGTGTATCCCTTGAGGCAGGGTTGTCACAACTAGTGCATTATAAGAGAGGACTGGCTGTTTCATTTAGTTGTTTTCCCATAGCTTCAGTTTTCCGCTGCCAGCAGTAGGTCACTTTCTGGTTTAAAAATGTAATATTTTAAAGCCTTTTTTTTACTGATGCTTCAATTTGTTTTCTTTCTTGTATTTGATACCATGTAAAGTAATAGTTTAAGGTCCATACCTTTTCTCTGACATTTCTGTTTTCCTTTCATATTAGCAGTCTTCCTGTGGCAGTTGGAGACTTACGTTGTGTGAATTCTTCAGTATGCTGCAGTTGTGTAAATGCTGAAGTATCTTGATACAGTAGTTGGCTGCAAAGCTTAGAGATGTAAAAAATATAATTGAATATTATTTTTAACTTGTGGTAATACTTCCAACATTAATTCTTGCTGCCAAGAGAGACATCTCAGTTTCTGTAATTATATTTTAATAGTGTAAAATTGTGTGTTCTCATTAACATATAGTAAGTACTTAAGTGTGTGAATGATAGGATTTTCCATTCCCTTTCCTTTCCTTTTTGCTTTTAATGGCCAAAAAAAGTATTTATGAAAGCAGAACACCCATTAATCATTGAGCAGGAACCCACAGGCATAGGACTTTTAACAATGGAATCTAGTACCTTTTTTTCTTTTCAAGGCAAGGCCATGAGCACTTACATTATTACTTCATTAAAAAGAGTTCATGACACTTTATCGCTTCCTCTTAGAAGTCGTATTTTTGATAACATCACAAATTGTTTCTGATCCCCTGTATCTATGCGATAGTAGAGCACTTGGATTGGTGAGATAACTGCTTGTCCTGGTATCTGTGTGATTATTATACTTTTTTTTTAATCTTCCTGGCTTATTTTATCTGCAGATATTATTTTCATATTTCTCCTTGACTTGTAACTTGCTTAGTAATAAGCTTATTTCCCTTTTTTCCCTTAACACTCTTCCTTTTCTCCTCTCTAGGCCTTCCTTATGTTTTAGCTTCTCTGCTCATTACTCTTTCCTCCCTGGCAACCCATCACCTTATTTCAGCTGCTTCTTCCTTCTTCTCTTCTGCTGGTAATTCATTTTTGCTTGCAAATTGTTAGTTTCTAAAGCATAGACCTCCTGCGTAATTGAACTTTTACTATAATTTATTTTTTAATATTTTGTAATTTATGAATGAAACTGAAATTGTTTACCAGAGTATTCATTTCCAAAGTAACAGACTTTTCAAAACATAAATTCTAACAAAAAATTATAGTTCCTTTACTGCCTTTTACCTTAAAGGGGCAACCCAAAAATGTAATTTGAACTTTTTTTATATTAGGAATATCAGGTCTTAACAACCTGCTTTTACTGGAGGTTTTCTTTGGTTTTAAGTTTCTGCGGGAAATGGGATGGTGATGCTGTATGAAACTGACGGGAAAAACTCATCATCCTACTTGTATCTGAGGATGGGTTTGATAAATCATGTTAAGGCTTGTCTTTCTGTACTTACATAACTAAGCAGGTTTTCCAAAAATCTTAGAATTCAATAGGTGTTCAGTCTGATATTTATAATAATTTTCATGTAAAGACAAGTAGAATTTTTAATATAAAGCCTTTACCTGATAATATAAAGCCTGTACCTGATTGTTTTGCAATCAGAAGGAAATAATTAACAATGTAAATACATATTTTTATGAGAAGTCAACTGAAAACAAGTATAAACAATTATTTGAATGTTTATCACGTTGATTAGATGATGTTGAATTGTGGTTTTTTATTGGTTATCCTGAGGTTATTTTTAGATAAATTGGGAGGACTGTTTCTTTTAATGTGTGTGCCAAGTCACAGGAAGATGCATTTCAAGCACTCTTAATTAGTGGCATTTTCCTAGCTTTGTGAACATCAGTGAATTTCCTACTTTGTGTATTTTAATTTCCTCTTCAGTGAGTGTTTATTATTTGCTGTAATGTGGGACAGTATGTTTATGCATTTCTATTTACTGAATGGAAGTTTCATTCCAGTTGTCTCAACTTCTTTAATATCAGTTGGCAAATTGCATTAGATAGCTTGAGAGCTTTTATTCCAAAGTCCCAAATGAGTATTGTACTGTACAAATAAATTTGTGATAAACTCCAAAACTACAGGATTGTTGGGTCAAGTTAGGGTGTTGGTGGTGGGGAAAGAGTATATTTGTCCCAGCTTTTTCATGAGATACCTGTGCTTTTTAAAATGACCATGGCACACAGGTATGCATTTTTGCAAAAGACTGTGCTTAGATCATTGTGTTACAAGAAGTCGATTGATCATCAAATACTGCAGGATTCTTTGTGTTGATGTTGATGAATTAGATCAGTTGTTTTTTCTAACTTTTTAAGCCCATTATGATAAACGGGGACAAATTAAACAGAAAGTCAATGGGACTGTGGGTCACTGTAGAATTATTCTGTTGCTTTCTATGGGAAATATGTAAATGTGATGAAGGGACTTTTTAATATGAAGTGGAGTTTTGTTCTCTAATAAAATAAAATGAGTAAATCTTAGGGCTATTTAATTTATGATGATATGCCACATTTTTCTTAACAGTTGAATTCAGACTGTCATTAAAAACCTAAAGTTTTAGTAAAATTAGAGGAAAACAGAACTTGGCCAAGCTGCTTTGTTGATATGTCATAAAATACTGTTTAGGAATGACACAGGTAGAGGAGAACCCCTGGAAGGGTGTATGCAGCTCACACAAAGAAAAAATACTCTTCTTGTTCACATAGGAAACAAATAAAGTAACTAGATAATACTACGAAATGTGATACGCTGTGTATGAAGAAATTTACTTCCAATTAAAAAAAAAAAAGAAATGTTATGTTTCATGCAGCATTATGTAATACATAAAATCACACGTTATATAGCTCTACAAACAGCCTTTTTACTCTATATTGTTCTTTAAAATATTTTGATAATTTCTGATTTACAATAAAGATTAGAACAGGTGATGCTTCTTGTATTAGTTTTTCTATCAGACCCTAATGGGAAAATAATTTCGTCCTGAGTGCTCTGACTCTGTTGCCATAGTATCATACACAGGCTTTTTTGTTGTTGTTGTTTTATAGCTGTTACTCAAATATTTAAAAAGAGAAAACTAAGCGAGAAAACTTAATTGGGTAATAGATGGTCATTCTATCTTGTTCTTCATGTCACATTCAACTTATTTATTTATTTTTTGAATGTGTACGTAGTATGTTTTTTACACCTGTGTTAGATGGAAATGCACCTAATATACAAATTTCAGGTTTGTTGGCCATAGTATCACTGTGACTTGCTTTGCTATTCAAATCAGAATTCTTCTTTGTTAAAGTAGATATTAGACTTAGCACCAGTTGAACTTGACTCTTAAGCTGATTTTGAGATTAGAAGACATTTATCTCACTATTATTCTCATAATTGATTAATTTTTAATTTTTTTTTGAAAACCACTACAAAAATTGTAATGGAACCATGAAGTCTTGTATGTCTTTACTCACTATATTTACTTAGGTATTTCTCCAAAATGTATCACAGCAATGGGAAACTCCCACTTGAATGGATTTTGGATTGAACCTCTCATGAACAGAAATAGTTGACCTGTATATATATGTGTTGGTTTAAGAAAGACTAACCAGTTTTTGTGTATTTTCTTTGCATTTTTAAATGGGGATAAAGAATGATGGCTTGATGAATTTCTGACTGTTCTATAAAATGCAACTTAATACCTACTTTGTGACCTGCATTGGTTATTTAGAGGATTGTTGTGTAAGAGGTTTCATTTGACATTGGCAAATTTAGGTACCACACTTTGTCTGAGGATACTGTAATCTATGCTTGTTACAAGTAACACCTATGAAGAGCTGAGAAAAGTAAACAAAATAAATACATCAATTTTTTATCCTATTTCTTTATTGTATGTGTTAGGCAGCATTTAGAGCTTAGTTGGAAAATCAATCATTTGCTTAAATGCTTACAGATCATGCTGAAGTCAGCTTCTTGTTTTCTAAATGCTAACATAAATACTCTAGAAAGTGGAAGAAGTCTGAATCTTAAATGAGTGCAATATTGTTGACTGCTGTGACAATATTTTTTCTAATTGGTCTTAAGGATAATTGTTCATTTTTAAAAATTGGAACATTGCATTATTTACTTTGGGTGTAAGTTATTAAAGTGTGAGTTAAATATATGAAAAGTCATGTTGATGGGGCTTTTCTCTTTCAGAATAACAAAGACTTTAATAGAACAGGATGGTCCCAGTTGGAGGGAGAAACTGCCACCAATTCCAGTTGTCCCAGTTGCTGCTCAGCTACACAGGTGGGATGGAGGAAACTTTACTTCAGAGAATAAGCCGAGAAGTACTACAGATATCAACACAGAAGAAGAGTTGCAGATGAATCGTATGTATAGCTAATGCAAATATATATACAAAAAAGAAAATAATTTTAATTAAAAAATGGAATAAGATTTAATAATGTCAAAGAAATTGCTTTATAAAATATTTATCTGAGACCTTTGTGCGAAACAAAGTTAGATGATGATCATTTATATGATTGAGTTTAATGTGCTTTATGGAGCCACAGTTACATTTTTTTTAAGCCAAGTGATGTAGTTTGCAGCATGTAATTTCTGAAGCTATATAAAATACAATACAGCAGAAATACTCATCAGCAGTATATTGAGTCCTATCACAAGTATCAGTAGTTTCTGTGATATCATACTACAGTTACAACACAATTTTCTCCCAAAAAACTACTACCCAAACAAGCACGCATCAGTAACATAATCAGCCGCATAATCTGTGTCTGTCATTTAATTGTTCATGAAAGCATTACTCAGCTCTTCAGAAAAGAAAAGGCAGGCTTGTAGGTGGCCAGTAGTTAGCGAAATGGGCTGTGGAAGAACACTTGTGAATTTTTTTTTTTTACGATGAATTCTGACTTTGATAGTGGCCATTTCGTAGTCATCTTTCAAAGATGTTAGTTCTGGACTTGTTTACACAGAAGCACTGAGTGCTTAACTCCTTTAGGACGCTGTCTTCCTCCTGATTTTTTCCCTTCACTGCAGTTTCTGTATTTCTCCTTCAGTAAATCAGGTGAAGGAACCTTTCTGATTCAGTTTTTATTGACTTTAAGTATTCTTTTTGCAAAGGCCTTAACTGTATGCTTTTTTAATTGACTATTAATTGGTTCTGCTTTGAGTTTATTTCAATATAAAGAAAAGTAGTGCTGAAGATAATCTCCCTTTGATTAATACAGGGGAGGCTGCAGCGCATAACTGGGTTGCTGGCCAAACATGTAGCAGCGATAGGGTTATCAGTCCGTAATGCATTACTGCAATAATGCGTGTCCTCAAATAATCTGCACTCTTGGGCACTACAGATTTAATGACTTTAAAACCATCTTTCAGATACAAATAAATTCAGTGCTATCTGATGTGAAACAACAGACAACTTACAAATACATGCATTTATGAGAACTGGACATTTTTCTTGAGAATAAGACATAGTTCTACAAACTTGTAATAGTGTGGTTTACATGTAATTTGAATAGTAGTGCATACTAAACTTCAGTAATGCTACAGAAAATTGTTTTTCATTTAAGAAACATGAGGCATATTGATGTATAAGTTAAGCTCAAACTCATAAAAATTTTACTCTACTTTTTAAAATGTCCGGTGACAAGTATTTTCATTACAGTTGTTATCAGTACATGTCATTATGGATTCATCACTCTTAAGGGTTGGGCAGCAATTGAGTTTAACTTCTGGGGTTTTTTTAAATGAAGTAGAAAACTGATATCTTGCACAATTGCTGCTATTAAACATAAATGCTTAGCTTGAAAAGTACTTTTTTTTGGTACTGATTGTACTCTAGGCTTTTTCTGTCATTAAAGAATACAATGTGTTGGATTTTTATTTCAGTGTATAACCAACCTATTTAAACCTTTTAAGTAGTAAATTTGGATCTATATAACCTTGTGTAACTTTGTTAAGAGAGAGAATTTGAAGATCATCATAGTGAAAATTACACAGATAAGCGGCTCCTGAGAACACTGGTGATCATGTTTAGCCTCTTAAGAAAGTTAACGGAACTGGCCATTGCTGTCTTCATACCCTGCGGCATTTTGATGCAAAACACGTCTCAATCTATTTCAAATAGAGTGTGCTTTGGTTAGGCTTCGTTTTTAGAAATGTTAAATGAAGACTGTGTAACAATTTTCTTCACTGAAGGCCGACTCTAAGGTTGTGGTCGCCCTCTCAGGCCTGTTCTAAATCAGTGGGACCTGACAGTGATAAGCTGGTGCCAGAAGTGTGCCAGCAATAATGTTGGCTGACACTTTTTTGCCTCAATTGTCTGTTGTTTTTTGTGTCTTACAACTGGAGTTGTAATTTAGTTGTGTTTCTTGCATAAGTCTGTTCTGGTTTCACGCCGTTACTTAGTTATTTCCACCAAGTTCACGTGTAGTTTTCTGTCATAGGACACTGCCATGTTTTTATAAAAGAACTCATTGAGTTTAATTATTGGTTAAAATTATCTGGTTACATAGAGTGTTTAAAACCTGAAACTTGGCAAGGGGCTTGTATGCTTGGGCAAGGTAGAAAAGTAGATTTTTCCATTATGATTTACTTAGAGCTGTGTTCCTATTGTTATTTGCTCACAACAGCAACATGAAACTGCAGTCAGGATTGGTTTTCCACTGTAAACATAGCTAGAAATTGTAGTCTAACCTAGAAGCATATGCAACAAATTGTGTGGAGTTTAGAAGGAAAGACAATTATGGAAGAACACAATATTGATTTAAAAAAGTATAGTTAGGTGTTTTCAGGTTCCTCAAAGCATCTTTTATAAATAGTTATTAACAGAGTATTACTGATGTATCACTAACCCCTACTGATGTGATGATTTGTTTGTCATTGTCAGTTTAGCATAGTAATGGTGATAGTTGCTTGGAGAAGGAATATTAGATCGAATTATGGCTGCCTTGCTGTGATGGTGGAGATCTAGAAGTCCTTTAATCCTGCTGATTTGAATCTCCACCGTTGTAAATAAAATTGGTATCTCGGTGGAGATACATAGACCCTCTCTACCAGATAGAATGAGTAGACAGAAGGAGGTGAAAGCGTAGAGCTCTCTGTTGCGTTCCCATTATTTTCAGCAAAATAGTTACCCTGGTGCATGGGGAAGTGTGTGTTGTGCCAAATGTAGACATGGTAGTGTATGCCTTTCGTAGAGCAGCAGGGGATCTGGGACAGAAATGGCAATGTGCAGACCAAATCAGATACTCCGGTTGCTGGGAATTTATTCTTAGTCTGGGTAGATTATTCAGCTACCCTTAATGAACTGACGTTCTTACATAACACTCTGATCCTTTTGTAATGTAGGTGAGAAAGCTGAGGAGAAGTTCAAGACATTAAAAAATGAAGGGAATGATTGTGTGAAAAAGGGTAAATATGAAGAAGCTGTAAATAAATACAGCGAATGCATGAAGTTAAATACCGAGGAATGTACGATCTACACTAACAGGTAAAGATCCAAAATCTAACCTCACTTTGTGGGATAACAATAGTTATATTTTCTTAACTGCAAATAAAGATTCTGCATCCCTTCAATCACTGTTGTAAAAAAAGTATTTTTTTTTTTTCCCCGCAGTTGATGAGTGTTTCTAATAACGAATTCTTTGTTAAATGACATTGTTTTCCAAGGGGAGCAAGTATTAATGTCACTGATATATATCTTGAAATCTTCATATAAATAGACTAAGTAATAGTAATAATTATAATTAGCATAGCATTTTGCAGCATTTTGCGAGAATACTGGTATAATTTTAATTAAAAACTAATGTGCAGTAGCAGTATCTCAAATATGAAGAGTAATAATTCAGAGAAGCAGCACATTTTGAGAAAATAAAAGTAAGAACACGGTCATACAACAGCATTATTTTAAAGATTGACCTAATTCTGCAGCATAATTCTTTATGCTGTAATCTTAGCAGCTTTCACAAACTAAGAAGGATTTGATTAGGCCAATACTTGGGAGACTTCCAAGTAATAATTAGGTGTAGAAAGCAGTATTGCTTATTTAATCTAGAGCACCTTTTTACCCAGAGTGGCTGTATAAAATCCATACTATATGAACTACTATACTATGATATTATACTAACATAGGCTCTGCTTTTAAAATACTTAGATATCTGCCTAACTTCAAGCATTAGTCATACTTGAATTTTGACTTTTATTGCAGGAATTGGCCCTATCTAAGTCCATCCACTGATGTTACTAATACTTATTTTTTGATTTTGATACTTTAAAAAATAACCACATTGAGACTGAATTGTGTGAGGTATTGTAGTTAACATTTATGAGACGGGTACTGTTGGCACTACAGCACTGTAGAATTTACTTATATTGCAGCGTATTCTGTTTTTCTGTGTTAGAGCTCTCTGTTACTTGAAACTGTATAAATATGAAGAGGCTAAGCAGGATTGTGATCATGTTCTTCAGATAGAAGATTCTAATATTAAAGCTTTTTATAGAAGAGCACTAGCGTACAAAGGATTACAGGTGAGGAAAAAGAACATGGCAGGTATTCTTAAACACTTCTAAACTTGCTTTTCTTCTTTAAAGGCAATCAGGTAGTTGCAGTTGCTGAGTGAATACAAAGTATGCAGTGCTGATGATTTATTACTCTGTAGAGCATTAGGCATACATAAAATACTATATAAATATTTTTGCAACATAAAACCCTGAATGTTGACTTGTAATAACTTGAGAAAATACAAGAATATTGGAATAAATGAAGTTTGACTGGAGATTAGTTAAGCAAATTTCAACTCTGTTCTAATGTTTTAATATTCTTCTGGGTATCCCAGTCCGTTTTTTCTGTCAAGGTGTTTACTCTGTCTTTGCTGATGACAAATGATTATCGCCAAGTCTGTCTTCATCTGTCCAAACTAAAATCTCAAGCTGTCTTTTGGCATCTGCTCATATTTGAGTGTTTTTCATATTAAACCAGGGTCTTAATTATCTTTGTTTTTTCTCTCTTCCTTCCCCAAACACATTATGAACCTTTGTCAGTAATCTACTTTCTCACTCTGTGGACAGTGTCAGTACTCAACCATTTCCTTTCCGTCTACACGGTGGTGACAGTTTCTGTACTGGGCTCATGTTACATACAATTTTTTGAGTATCCTTTTACCTGATCGTCATAAATGCAGACTTAACTGCTCACATCCATCCTGAAGGTGACTGCAAATCTCGTGTTCCATCACTTGAACCACATTGTTCTTTTGTCCATGCCTCTGTTGCTTCCCCTGATTCAGTGATGTTAATTAGCCTCTACATTTCATAATTCTTTCATAGCAATCCTTACCCTGCCTGTTAGCTCTTGCCTGGTATTGGATTATCAGCTTCTCACTTCTGTTGGCTCATGATAGCAGCTATCATAATCTACTTTGTATTACCTTTTACAAGTGTCTTTAAACAAGCATCTTAAGTGCTTTCTATCACATTGCTCTTTATAACTGGAGGCAATCACTCCAAGTGTCCACCAAGTTTCAGCAGTGTCCATCAAATGAATACTTACCTCAGACCTCTGTTATGTTTGATGCCTTAATAAAAATTACCTGATTGTCTCTTAACTTACAGATCACCTGAGGACAACCTGTTTGTGCTTAGCAGTATACTAGCCTGTTCTCATCCCATGTTATAATTCCAAATGCAAGTCGTAGGGACCATGGGATCTTTTGTTGGTGATAAATTTGTTCCTCTGTTACAGTAGCTATGAAATTTTGAAAGTTTGCTTGATTAATTTTCAAAAAAGGTGAAAAGTCTTAATTTTGTGTAATCTTTTCTGTAACTGTACCAAGCTACCTGGTATTGATCATCTGTAACCTTATGTTGTTGAAGTTGATAAAAAGTTACTATAAATACGAGCAAAGGTATATAGCGAAAGGGAATTACACACTAGTGAAGAATGTCAAGAATTGAAGAAATAATTTCTGCTTTTTTAATATGCTAGAAAAAAATGCCATTTTTGTATTATTGAAGACATAACCTGAAACACACTGTTCATGGATTCCTTCAGAACAGTCTGAGCTGGGGATGCTCAAAACGTTTTGTTGTGATTGGATTTAATGCCTTCATTATTGCTAATTCCAGGGATATGAGTGATTCGTAAAACCAGAGGAAGAAACAAAAGTGATTTGAGGTTGACAAATGACTCTGTATTGAAAAATTTTAAGAGCTAAAAGCATGTACTTTGGCAAAGACATAAGCTGGGAAGTGTTATTTGTATATAAATATCCAGATATTTAACCACAAAAGCTGCAGTGGAATTTAATGTAGTAAATGAGGGGTTTTTTTAATAGATTTACTGAGATGTAGTTAAGGGAAGATCAGGAAAAAATCATGCTTGTGTGATGAATTAGGCCTGTAACATAGGACACAGGACCCCCTACCGTATCTCCTATGGCTGATAGTCCAGTCTCTTCCTTTGGGTACAACCATCTTTTTGTTGAGAAGTCTGTCAGGCTGCAATTTAAATCCAGGAAGGTTGGTTGTTTGCTGACCCTTGTGATCGTTTTCAGAAGTCTGTTCCAGAATCTCATTTCTCTGTAGCTGTGAATCTTCACATCTGTGATTCAAATGGTTTAGCTTAATTAGCAGCTGTTTTGTGATGAAAGCAATCTGCCCCCTTTCTGCATTCATTTTCTAAAGCTAAATAATTCTAGTCCTCTTCTTTTGTGATATAGGAGACTCAGTTCACTTACAGACTTACTGCAATGTCTCTGCACATTGAATACTGCGGTCATCAGTATTGAACAGAATATTCTGTGTAGGAAAAAGAATATGAGTGACTTGTACACTAGTGCTTTTATTACAGTTGAGATGCTGAGAAAATACCTTAGCTGGTACATGAGGATTTTTTTCATCATAATATGAATGACTTACAGTAACCTATGATACTGCTTGGGAACAGAAGTATTACATCCCTCATACAAATAAATTAAGTTGATCTTTTATTGTTTACAGCTACATTTCATCCTTATTTTTGGTACTCCAGCCCTCAAGGCGTCTTGATTTTTCTGTCTGATATTGCAGCCTTCCTCAGAATTGATGCTATTAACTTTGCCTCTCCAGAAAATTTAGTCTAAAAAATCAAAATTTTGAATCTCAAAATTTGAAATAAAAACATTAAACAAATGACAAGTCTGATTACTGAGGAATTGTGTCCTAATGCAACTCTCTTGCTGTATTTGTCCTTCTAATCCTGTTTATCCTGGAGTTCACAACATAATCCCAGTCTTTTCAAGTATTACCAAAAATTTCCCTTCTCAAACTGTAAGAGATGGTCTATTGGATTGAAGCCCAGGAAGGTTAGGTGTATTTTTAATCTAAGCTTAATTTAACTCCCTTTTATTGACAAAGCAAGTACACAAACTATTGATGGACTCATATTGTATTAATCTTGAAGAAGTGTTACACTGTGAGCAATTGTGCCTAAAAGCAGCAATCTTCAATAATCTGTTCTCTGATACAGGGAATATGTTTCTCACAATAAACGTTTTCATATTACATATTTAATACAGAAGTATTTAGCCAGAAAATACTAACTCAAACTCATCCTCAGTTTCCCTTTTCCCCTCTAATGAAATTACACTGTCTGTATTATTTTTGTCTACTTAATGCCAAGATCCTAGCGTTATAGTTCTTAATTGTAAAGAACGGTATGTCATTCAAATTTCTTTTTCTAGTGGTATGCTTACAAAAAAATTATTTTCCCTTATACTTACAGAATTATCAAGCCAGTGTTGATGATTTCAACAGAGTACTTCTATTAGATCCAAATGTTCTTGAAGCAAAAAAGGAACTAGAGGAGGTAACCCAACTGCTTAACCTTGACAGCAGTGCTGTAGCTGGCAGTCAACAAAAACAAAGGAAGAAAATAACCATACAAGAGGTATACCTGTTCATTTTTAAAAGCAGGCGTACAGAAGCCACACATTTGAAGAGATAATACTAAAACTTTTATTTTGCACTTAGCTCTACATTTTTTGTGGGGGTGGTGTATTTTTCATGTTATTTTCAGGGCATATTGGAGGATCCTCACTTGTGATATGTTCAGTGTCCATTACATTCTATAGTAAAGCTGACACTGCTTTCAAGTGTTTGCAGAACCACGGCACAAATGGAAAATGTGTATATTTAGATGGCAACTAAACTTGAGCATATGTTCCTTATAAACAAAAACTGCTTAGACTTTGAAATACCTGTTTTACAGAATGTGGCTGTCAAATAGCAGTTTTGCTTTTAAAGTCTGTGCTACTCAGGAATCCTCTGGGACTGTGCTGGCAAAGGTTCGTTGTCAGCAGGCATGCTAGCTGTTCTTCTCCTCGGAGTTCAGTTACTGGTCTGAAGAATGAAATCCTCCTTAAAAAGCAAGAGTATGGGTAGAACATCTGTAGGATCTTACAAAAGATATATGTGATGTAATGTTACGTACTGGATCAAAATGTTAGCCTTGCGGAGTTCTGGGTAGAATTAGGCGTTGAAAGGATTTTCTCAGTCATCTGATATTTTTGGATTGTAGCTTTGCTGGTCCTTTAAGAATATTTGGGGATTTTTTTCCCTTTTGATTTTAAAATATATAGTTAAAGTAGATGGTTACCAGTCTGTACAATGATACTGTAATTTGATAATGTAACTTCAAAATGGTGGTATATTGGAAACTGCAGTTATTAATACAGAAACAATTTGTTTTATTGAAACACTTCACATTGTCACGGGTTCATGGGATTTTATGTAACTGGCGTAAGCCTGGTATAGTGTTAGTTAAGCTCTCAGTTGTGACAAACAAAGGGACCTGGGGAGCGTTTAGAGGGGCTTTGGGAAGTGGCCGCGTTGTTCAGTCACCAGCTAATGACATTACTGGCAGTCGTAATTTTTCCAGGGGTGGGGCAGGAAGCATTTATGTTTGCTATTGTAATTACAGCTGCCCTGTAGAGAGCCTTCCCTGTCTTATCTACTGTTGTACAAAGTAGTTCCATGAAAACAGACTGCAAAGAATAAGGAAAATTAAAAACTGGGATTTATCATTCTTACTCCATTTTAATCAAGCTATGATTATATAAAAGACAGTCAAGATTTCTCTCTTGATACTAAGGATTGTTGAAAAATAGAACAAAATGTCTATAAGCCCAATGCAGTATTTTCCAAAAATGACTAATGTAGCTCCCCTGTGCTGTGCAATACAGTATCTTCAGACTTTCTGAAGAACTTGGCATCCTTTGAAGAGACCCTGTTCAATGAGTTTTAGTCAGTTTATACTAATTCCACAACTCTTGATAGCTTGAAATAGATTTTAGCAAATGTAATTGAACCCACGGTTAATTTTCTAGCACCTGATTCATGAGACTTAGGAGAAATGAAGTGGGTATTTGGGCAGTTAGACCATGCTGAGCTTTCTCCTTCCCAGCGAGGCTCCAGTCAGCAACCTGATACAGCTGCCATATACCTTCTGAAGGCATGGCAGTGAACTTGAAACGTGGGTATCATCTGGTGACTTGACTTCAGTTCTGCTTGTCTTCTGCAACTTCGCATTCCTGTATATATACAGTCCTTCTTAGCTTTCTCCCAGTGGTCACCAGTTATCTTTCTACAGTGGAGTGCCAAGCAGTGAAAGGAAATGTGAAATACGCATTTTTTACTACAAACCTTTGAGGATAAATTAGAGAGGTCCTGTTCTGGGGGGAAGTAGGACATAAAAGAACAGAGGTGCCTTTCTTTTATGAAGAGTAAAATGATAACTTTAATTTGGTGACATTATTGATGAATGTATGCATGCAGTTTATGAAGCTTCAGGTTACCTATATGTCCACATTAAAATGATTTGTTACCATTTTCTTTGTGAAGGTGACTGAATCTGATGAACAGGAAGAGAGACAGTTTGCTACATCAGAAGATGTTGTGACTGATCATGTCACTTCTAAGGAAGCAACTCAAAAGAGCGTGCCACTGAAGAGCTCTGAGAAACTACGTGTTTCTGAACCATCTAATGCTTATGACTTTGGTCAGATTATAAATGCAGTGAATACCAATAAGGATATAGCTGCTTGTGCAGATCTTTTAACAATTACTGATCCCAAAAAATTACCAGTGCTGCTAAGTAACAAACTTGAAGGAGAAACTTTTTTGATTTTTATCGAGTCTTTGGAATATTATGTAGTTGGAAAAGATCCTGGCCTTGTGTATCAGCACCTTTTCTACTTGAGCAAAGCTGAAAGATTTAAGGTAAGAACCTAGATAGAATGTGTGCTTAAATTGAACAGAAACCTACAGGAAATTTTCATATCTTAAAAGGAAATGATACACTGATTTTCTGTCAAATACTATGATTTTCAGTCAACCTGTGCTAATTATAAATTTATTTTTTTTTTCAGGTGGTGCTGGCTCTTCTTAGCAAAAGTGAAAAAGAACAGGTTCAGCAACTGTTTGACTTACTTTCAGAAAACCAGAATGATCGGTACTCTTTGGAAGATCTTGAGAGCCTTAAAAAGGTTTATGAACTTTAAGAAGCTAAAATTTGTTGGTTTGCATGCATATAGTTCATGTTTATAAGGTGGATGTATGAACTCCGCAGGCTTGCATCGGTTGAAGTGGGTCTCTACCCAGACTGTTTGAATTTTGTTTTGTTTTGACAGCATATGCACATTTAAAACTTGCTGCTCTTTTTTTTTTTTTCTTGTAGTTGTATACATTTTTAATCTCTAGCGTTTAATGCATGACTTTGTTCAGTAACAGAGTTCATATTATTTAGCATACTGATTTTATTTAGACTGTGTTAATTATATATATAAAAACATATTTTACATTATATATACAGGAAATATCTTGATGGTACAATAGATAATACACTTTTAGTCATCACTTGTTATATAATTTTGTGAGTTTTATGTTCTTGTGATAAAGAATTGTCTTCAAGATAAACGGGTCAGTTAGTAATAGCTTTGCTAAAATGAGTTTACAAAATGTATTAACATTTTTCAGATAAATTGCTACAGACCATCTGTTTCTTCACTATCCCTGCTCTACACAAAACAGATTTAAATATTTTTGGTGCAATACAGCTTAGCAGCAAAGGTGAATGTATTAGCTTGTCATGGAACACTTTGAATCAAAATAATTAATTATTAAATAAATAGGTGTGTTTTTAAAATTATTAAAAAGTTAATAATTTTTAGAGCACAGAGAATTTTTTTTTTTTTCTGTGTGTGCAGAAGGACTGTGGTTTGCCTGGCTTTTGAAGTGACAGTGAACAGAACAAGCAGCTGCACTTAGCAATAAAAATATTTAACTCTGAGTTTTGTAATCAGATTATTTAAAATATCAGCTATTTCTGTTTACAAACATACTTACAAAGCTAAAAGTAAAACCATTTTGTGGACCAGTATGATTTTTCTTTTTTTTTTATTTCAGGCAGTATTTGTGTTTTATATTTAATTTTGACAAAGCTCCTTTTTTCAACATGAAGCTTTTAAATTTTTCGAATACCCCAATGCCTTCTTTGCACATGTGATATAAATGTGTATCAAACTCACTAGCACTGCAGAAGTATCATTAAGAATGTTGTTCTAATAGAAATTTTTCTCAGGTGTGTATTAATTAAAAAAATAAAGTTGTTTTCTTGAAAAGTACAATTATGGATTCTCTTTTCAGATTCTATTTTTCTTAGGCGTATAATTCTGACATGAGGATTATGCATTTTATCTTGAAGTAGAGTGCCAAGAATAAGGCTTTTAAGTCCTAAAGCACTGTTAGTACAACTGATACGGTTTTTTGTTTTTAAATGTCCTCTTATGAGATTGTCATGTGTTCGAGAGATCTATTGCTCATCTAATCTATGCATAACCAATTGTACTTAACCAACAAAGTGCCAATTTCGGTCTTCAGTCATGGTGGCACGGTATTCACATTCACTAATTTCTGTGTTAGTGATTTCAATCTCTTTGTTTTTTCCACTGCAGTTTAGTATGTTCAGTGAAGACTGTATGTCTGCAACTTACTGATTTTTTGTTTAATAGAGTTCAGAGTGTTTTTAATAATGATAAATAATAAGTTGGAGGATTGTATTAATAAGTTCTTATGCTGAAAGAAAGCATAAAAACCAGCTATGTAATTTTAAAATAGTCTTAGTTGCTTGAAAACTGTAGCTGAGAGCCAATGTCAAAAGCCACATCACAAAAGCTCTTGATGATGTTAAATCTTTTCTCTGTGCCACCCAAAATCCCAAGTATTAAAAGCTCTTCAGATACCTTCTAAGAAGCAGTCTTGACTGCTAAAGTTTGTATCATCTCATTTGTACAGTTCCTTTTGACACTGAAGACAAAAATCAGAATCTTTGCAGCAGTAAATAATAAAAATATACTTTAGTAAATTTAGGAGACCATCAGACATTATTAAAAAGACAAAAAGGCTTTAAAAGACAGATTTTTAAATGGAGTGTTCTTGACAAGTCATTTATCTCTGAGGAAATAGACAAATGGGTTTTCATAGATGGGTATACAGTATCACGGTTAATTTTAGGACAGTTTTAATCAATTCTTGGCAATTAAACTAGAAACCTAAAAGTAGTCCAGGGAAAAGTAGCCTGGTAGTCAAGGGCGATACCTTTTCTTGTAACACCTTCCAGCTTGAGACTCAGCTGCAACAGAGGTTAACTCAGTTTGAGGTAAAAATGACAGAGATCAGCAGATCAGGAAGCTAAAATTACCCCTTGTTAAGAAGTTCTAAATGGAGAAGGGCAGCAGTGTTGGCAAGTGAAGCCGTTATCCAGCTTTGTATCCACGTGTGTCAGGTGTGGTTAGCAAGAGATTAAGTAACAAACATTCCTGGTTTGAAAAATCAGCACTTTGCTGTGAAATCACCCATCTTGTAAAGCAAAGCAAGCATGGCTCTCTTCAATAGATGACAATAAGAGGGCAGGGTTTGCTACTTGCAACAAAGGGGTTTTCGCTTTCTGTGTGTGATGGCGTCTGATCCCTTCAGTTTAAGGCTGACCGTAAGCTTTGGGTGGTTGAGTATTTAGACAACCCCCCCCAGCCTACCCCAAACACTCGTTGGTAGGTAGCCCCTCTGGGGTACAGTTGGCACTGATCTCGAACAAATTCCAGCCCTTGTCGCATACCACGAGCTGCTTTTTACAGTTTTCTAAAGCTCATTCCAATCCATGATCCCAAAGGGAGAAGACACTTTCTTGAAGCTATGCATTCCTGACACTGCTGCCAGGCCAGGCACACGCTCTCAGCAGCGCCTGGGCACCAGCCCTGCTCTGGGAGATGTCCACATTTCCTCCAGCACCTTATTATGTGCCTCACTGCCAAGTGAACCCCTGAAGCAGAAGCCATTGAACAGTAATTGATGCAGCAATTGTGAATGCCCTGCACTACGGATTAGCAGACCCCCTAAAGTTTTAGGCACTAAACCTTTACAACATCTATTCTTTAAGTACCAGGTCAGCTGCATCATCTGCAAACCTTTTCTGTCTGATGTTCCCCATACCTGTCCCAACTAGGGACTTTTGGCCTCAGCTTCCAAAGTTAAAGAAATGCATTCTTAAAGCACAAGGGAATAATGAAGAAACAGAAACATTTATTGTTTTAGTAGCTGAAAGATGAAGTCAAATAATCAAATATGTATTTCATAAATAAAAAATTTAGCAACTCTCAAATATAAGAAAAATGGTCATGAAGCTGAGCAAAAACATGGACGAAGTTTGACACGTGAGCCATTCATCTGTAAGGCCACCAAGGGGCTAGCAGTACTTGCAGTCATTTAGGTGGTGTTCGGGTCTCGTTCAAAGTTCATGGAGATTGGCTACTTAGTTCAGACAGTATTTGGGAGAGGGCATGACAGGCAGAACCATTTCTAAAGACCTAGAACTTATCAAAAAAATCAAACCATTTGGTAGGGACTGTACTGCTGATCTGGCCGAGACCACCAGGCTTCACAACCTGCCCCTTTTGTGGGTCAGCATTAGACCACTGAAAGTTATTTTGGGGGTGTGGAAGGGAATGCTTTCACCTGTTGATTTCCTAAACCCACTCCTTTGGCAGGTAAGGGCTGCCTACACCTGTCCATCTTGGCTTCATCTGGGGAACCTCCTCAGGGCCAGAGGGCAAACCCTCTGCAGCCCTGAACAGCTGCAGCCTAAGATGAAGTGCAGGGTGACCTGTCACAGGTAACGTCCTGGGCCAGGCACCGCGGCCCGGCCTGGGCACAGGCAGCCACAGCCGCATCCCCCTGCCTTTCAAGCGTGGCACTCGGGAGAGCAGCTGCTGACCAAAAGCAGCTCCTCGCTCACCATGGGACCGACTGCGAAATCGGTTCTGCTTCCCCTGACCCCGTTGTGCTCATGCCTCACGTCGTGAGCAGGAAAAGCCATGGAGTGGTTGAATTGCTGCTTTGCCCATTGTTGGGTCAGGAGCTCATCTTTCCCTGACCCTGTCACTCCTGGTTTCTTTTTTGCACCTGTTTTGAAACACTCTGGTCTTTCTTTTAAATCTGACTGCCTCTGCTCTGCCCTCAGTATTTATTTGTCATGATCTTTCGTCTCCATCTGCTCTCCATAAGCATCAGCTCTTCTGCCTGGTTGCCAGCCTGAGCTGCTCTGCCAGTCAAAAGTAAGAAAATGGCTGCCCACCTCAGCACTGCCATGAGTGGCTTTCTGTGTGGCTTCCATGTAAATGCAGGGGCCCAGAACCAAGGAGGGGGAGGAGAATCTGTTTTTACTGGTATCGTTTTTTAAAACATCCTTGTAAGAACAAAGCATTTTCTTGTTGGAAGACAGCAAAAGAATCTCAAATGGCATACCTGGCTTTCTGGCGGGGAGGCCGAAATCGCAGCGTAGTGTTACTCTCTCAGGCTTGTCACTCATCCCCTCAGCATTAACATCCACCTTTAAAAAAACCAAAACAACCACAAACAAACCAAAACCAACAACAATACCAAAAAAATGTGCTTCAGGAGGAGAACATTGGTTATTCAGGTGATGGGAACAGGCAAATGAAATGTGGGCCCGAAGTGGCAATAAGCTGGCCAGCCCCAACACAGCAAACGGCAGAGAAGTACCCCGTACCGATGAGGTAACCAGGCTTGCAGTGACCAATTTGCGCGTGGATACAAATCCCTGGTTTTAACACAAGTAGAGCGAGTTTCTTTCTGTAACCACTGAAAAGGCGGCTAGCGGCTGGGGATTAGCACATGCCGGGGCCAGGGGTTTGCACTGTTGTCCTTCTGGTCCCTTCAAAATATTTTAGAAATGTTTAGAGAAGCCAGCTGCAGGTTGAACAGCTGCTGTCACCCGAAGGGCAATGGCACGCAGTGCTACGAGGGTTGAGTGTTGTCATGGCACGGTGGCTTTTCTGCCCAAAAAGCCGATTTACTGCCGAGCCCTCACCACCACCCTTTTTACTCTTCCTGCGTAGTGGTGCAGGCGGCAGAAGCTGGCGAGAGCCCAGTTACTGGCAAACCACACTCTGCTTTTATGTGGGAAGTTTTTTCCACTCACTGGAAC